AGGCAGGTTTTTTTTTCTATAACGACTAACGCAGGATAAAAAGGTTGTGTTTTTTCATGTGGTGTGAGTAAGCTATTGACTTCTAGAATATTTATTTAGATCTACATATCAGTGCTCAGATGATTTTTTACACTGTATATTTTTTTTACCTCAGAAATATTAAATGAGACTAAAGTCTTCCTGTTTACATACAGTTAAGGTTGATATAATTATGATTCATTTTCTTAAAACTCTTTGAATTCAGAGATGTACAAATATATTTAACATTTGGTGGAAGCGCATTTTAAATTGTATGACTCAGGTCAAATGTTTTTTGACCTAGACTGACTGGCTTTGAAACAGTATTTTTCCTCATCATGATATCAACAGTTTTAAGGAGTGCACCAGTCCCTCCTGCTGCAAAACTCCCATAAACATGATGCTGGAATTCCCATAAGTCACAGAGAAGACTGGTGAAGTTTCCCTCTTATTCTTCCAAATGTAATAATGCTAATAATGGCAAAACACTTAAGTCTTACTTTTTCAGACCACAACGCATTGCTCCAAAATGTAACATCTATGAGTGCACTTTAAACTTTAATCTAGCTTTTAACGTGTAAGAAGTTAATTTAAAACATCTTCAAAAGTGGACTGGCGACCAGTCCAAGGATTTGATCTCTTTGTCATCACAAGTTAATTTTGTTAATCCCAGTTGACCAAAACCAGGAGAAGCATAAATTAACATCAGAGAAAAAGAAAAAACAAAAGATTTGTGTAAAACATCCGGTTTCAGTTGTTCATACAATAATAAAGCAGACCAACAAGAAAACATAGGATTTTAACTCTAGAATAACTCGTAAGGCACCAAATTTCAACCCATTCGCTAAACGCTGCTCAGGGATGATGTCATGGCGACCTCCATAATATTGTTTGCTTATTCTTTTGAAAATGTTAAAAATACCAAGTCAAGCTTCTGACTGCGATGCATAAAACCAACCTAAAAGTTGCAGAGTTTGATACGAGTCAGTGGTTGTAAGCAAAACTTGGATCATATGATGCTTCTGTTTCTGAAATACCAAAATGTGTTTAACTTCAGCTTTCTGTTAAGCCACAGAAAATCTGTTGAACTTTCACATCTGTATTTCCTGCATGTTGTCTTGCTTAGTGACATTTCCCTGTTGCCCCAGTTGCAACTGTTTCGTTGCCTTTAACAAAACAAAGAAATACTGCGATGTTTTAAAAGATTAAAACAACCTTACACACCTTGACGAGACTCTAATAGTAAATATGTGTAATGAAGCAGTCTGGATCCTTCTCTGTTTGGTCAAACATTGCTGCCCCCATGTGGATAGTGTTACAATTACACCACAGCTATCCAAAGAACTCAATCAAAATAATGTCAATCTAAAATTATATGATTTCCTGTGGGATTTATTATTAAAATAATAAGTAAACACACAAAATGCTGTAGTTAAGCTAAGTGATAATAAAAACTGTCAGAAAAGGCAAGAGGAAGTATTCTGCACACAGGAAATGGGATTCAAAGGAAAGCTCAGTGTCACAGCTGACTATGACTTTTTTTTTTTTAAGATTTCTCAATAATGCTGTTTTTTTCTGACATCCCTTTTTTGAGTAAATGTCATTCTTCCTGTCATATTTCTCCAAGTAGGCTTTGTAATCCCTAAACTCATGACTAGTCCTATGCATAGTGCAAAAGTTGTGAATCATTATTTGTAACTTGATACCTTCACCCACAAAACATTTTGTGGTTCATACATGCTGAACGAGGGGCAGTATTATGTAAAATTTACTTTTTCTTCTTTATATCATGTTATAATTGGTTTCCCTCCTCAAAAACACACCTGGAGTGTTGCCTTGATTCTTTTAAAGCAAGTTTGAGAAATCCTTTTCTCTCCCAAGGCAACCACTCACGGTGAGCGCCTTCTGCTTGGTTACTTCTTTATTTCAGCTATATGCATTTAACATCTGGGTGTTTTTATAGGAATGTGGATCTTTCAGATCAATTTGAGAAGCAATTTTGATCATATTTCACATTTTACCGTGTCATGTAGCGCGGGGCGCTGATCTTGGTCTTGTCTTGGTCTCGGACCCTAAAAGTCTTGGTCTTGTCTCGGTCTCGATACACTCTGGTCTTGATCTCACCTTGGTCTCAGGTTAGGTGGTCTTGACTACAACACTACATAACGCCCCCAGTCAGTTCCAACAGGTGCTTGCTAATTGCAAGCAGGTGCTTGCAATTAGCAAGCACCTGCTTGCTAATTGCAAGCACCTGCTGTATAATGAGCAGTTAGCTCATTATACAGCTACTTTTTAGTGCAACGCTGGTAAAATGTTTTAAAAGATTAATAGAGGAGTGCTGTTGTGATGACTTCCTGAATTCAGAAATGAGGATGAATTTTTAAAGAGACAGCTGCCCAATTTAAAAAAAAATATGAGGTCAAATTGTTTTTAAGTCATATTTGATATATTCAGCATTTTTAGAACAACTGAAGTTAACATTTACTATTCTGAAGCTGGAAATCACATAACATTGCCTCCATTAAATTCCATTTCACTGTAGCTTTAGCAAAACAGAAATAGGATCTTTAGGTATTTTTACTAGCATAATGCTACAAATACTGTTTTATCACCAATGCACTGATTGACAAAGAGCAACTAGCAGGTCATCGACACAACAATGAGTTATCTCTCTTGTCCTGTTTCACGTCTTGAACTTTCTTCCAGTTGTTTAAAGACCTTTTGATCATTTTACCCACCTTCTGTGAGGATACATCGGTTTGTGAAGGACAAAGTGGACGAAACGGATGGATCCCAATCAGTTGTACTTATACAAGTGTTCAAGCCAAGATAAATGTATATTAATCAGAAAGTGATACTCATCAGCTACGGAGGGAAAATCTGGTCCATAGAACATGACGGCTCCCATGGCACTGCTGGTAACTGTAGCTCCATCAGTGTTAGAGGCTACTGAAGTTCAAAGCATAAAATACTAACTCCTAACTGTGGAAGCAACCAAAAAGGAAGAGGAACCCACCCACACGCTTGCTTGTGACTATTTAATGAAGTGGGTTTTTTCTCTGAACCAGTGTGAAGTTCCTCATCTGTTGACTCAGTTTCTAAGTAACTCGAGTTTTCTAATGTGGAAAATTATAGCCTTAATGGTTTAGAAGTATGATGCAGCAAAAGAATGGCTGAGGCAAATTTTAATGTTTGTTTAACAGTAAAATAAAATGGTGCAGATCTAAACTTATATCTTAAACTTATGGCTGCAGCGTTAGGCTGTAAGTAGCCTCCTCTCATGTGACTACAATAAAATCTGTGAAGGAAGAAAACAGATTATAGTCTGTCACTAATTAAATACAGAATATTTTTACCAAAAGTCCACAGAAATTCACTGAATTTTTCTTCATTGTAGAGCATATGACTTTAACTCCGATCTTTCACAGACTTTCTACTGCTTCCTTCCACTACCAGCCTTCGAATACATTTCCTGTGGATTCTCATCTCCCTCCAGTGAACAAACAATGGCCGTTGTTCATTCAAATCAAGTGGATTTCTCCAGTAGAATTTCAAGCGCGAACAGAAGGACAAGTTGTGAATGATGATGCTGATTTTCTGTGCAGTTTTAGATCTGCAGTCTGTCTATAGTTTCATGGCCATGGCAGAGGAGGAAGTGGATCAAGTCATTCAGTCCATGTTGGCCACACTTCCAAATATTGGATTGATATTAACGGCTCGGCACTTCTCTCCTCAGCGATGGATGCTGTTAATGTCCTGTAAGCTTCGTGGCGTCAAACTGGCGGCAGGGACAGTTACTTTCAATAAAATTTGATAAAAAATAGCATATTGAGTTTATTTTTATTGGTTGTGTTGTCTGACAACATGATGTGTCCCTGACTCGTACTGTAGGATGAGCTGTGAACAATCACTCAAAAAATGAGTCCAAGAGTCATGTTGTTCAACAGAACAAAAGAGCCAAATAAGGAAGCCCAGCTGAATCGATACAAAACGCTGTACGTCTTGTATTTACCAAGTCTTGTCTTTCCATTATGCTTAAGGAGCTAAACATAGCAGCGGCTTTATTTTAGAACCTTTTTGTGGATTTAAATTAAGTTCCAGAACGATCCAAAGAGGGAAATTATCTAATGGCCTGGCTCAGATAAACAAAACATTAATTTCTCTTCTCCTGTAGCCAGAGAGTGCACAGTGGTGGAGTTGGTAGAGCTGTTGCCTTGCAGCAAGAAGGTTCTGGGTTCGATTCCTGGCCCCGGTCTTTCTGCATGGAGTTTACATGTTCTCCCTGTGCATGTGTGGGTTTTCTATGGGTACTCCAGTTTCCTCCCACAGTCCAAAAACATGACTGTCAGGTCAATTGGTTTCTCTAAATTGTCCCTAGGTGTGTGTGCATGGTTGTTTGTCCTGTGTTGCCCTGTGACAGACTGGTGGACCTGTCCAGGGTGACCCCACCTCACCCAGAACAATAGCTGGAGATGGGCACCAGCACCTCTCCTGGCCCCACTAAGGGACAAGGCTGTAAAGAAGATGGATGTAGCCAGAGAGATTCATTATCTCAGGTTCCATATTTGCCATGAAACCAAAGTAGAAATAGTTTTCTATCGCTTGTTTATATATTTTTTTGTAAGTTACATCTTTCACCAGTTCACCAGTAATTATACAATATCACATATTTTCTTAATATTGCTCAGCCCTCGAATTAAATCTGTTAAAGTATTCTATAACACACACTATTGACAGCATGGGAGTTCTATATTTTGTTTGAGTTATTTTCTTCTTTATTCATCTTAAGCTGTGCAAAGGAATTTCACACTGAGTGTGTGTGCAAATTGTAAAGTAAAGATCAAACCTTAAAGCTACCCAAAAACCTAAATACATAGAAATACATAACTACGCATAAGAACAGGTTAAGGTTATTTTCAGCATAGCTGAAACTCGTTTAAAGGAGGATTTTGGATTTGCAGTGTAAATGATGGTTTATTTTCTTCTTTATATGCACTGAGCATATTTCTTACTGGAAAATATGCTCCATGACCAGAATGTGATCATGTGCACAAAACAGCATTTAGAAAGTACAGGTCATAGGTCAGAAGTCCATTGACTCAGCTCATCGTTTTAGCAAATGATGCAAACTAAACTCTGGATCAGTGCTGTGTGTTTTCTACGGGGCCAAAGGTCGCAGTGGTTAACAGTCAAACACACATTCAGTGTTGAACACACAGAGGAGATGGCTTAAAGCAAACCCATACTTTATTTTAAAAATGACCTTTCCAACTGTAAACATACTGAGTAAAAACATTTAGTGTTCATATGTTGCTTTGTCTTTACTAGTATACACATTGGATGAAAAGTATCTGTTCCACTTTTGGATATAAGTTACAATAAAACATGTGCTATCATCTTTGCACAAGATGAACAAAAACAGGATGTAGTACTCTGAGCTGAATCATCCATGGGTAAATACTTCTGTGTACTCATGGATTAAATAAAGGTGGCGTAGTGTCAGTTTAAGAGCTGGTGAAAAACCTTCTTTGTAACTTTAAACTAGAAATTGAAGGCTGCTTCTTTCCATGCCAGATCCACGGCTAGCTGTAACTTTGTAACTTGAGGTACTGAACGAGGTTTTCGTTATCTAGTCCCGCGCTACGTCTTCTCGGCCGATCATAAATGCTTCCCCCGGCCTTCGGATATGACGTGCTCGGGAACGGCACGGGTGTACCACTCTGACCACGCGCCGTCGTACACTGACACCTCTGGGTGTCCGCACTTGTATGCCGCCAGTGCCAGGACGCACGCCGTCACGCCGGAGCCGCACGACACGCACACGGGGCGGCTGAGGTCCACTCCGGCTCGGACGAAGAGCTCCCGGAGGTTCTCCTTGGGCAGGAAGTGTCCAGACTCAGACAGGCAGGACTGAAAGGGAATGCTGGCAGAACCAGGGATGTGGCCGGGCTCTGTGTCTGTGAAACAGGAAGGAGAGAGATCATTATGGAATTGTTTATTTGAGATAGTTCCCAAGAGCTAAAAGTAAGAGGCAGTTTATGACATTTAAAAAGACAGAAAACACAGTGTTGTATTTTGGGTACACTGCTAACTTTCCTGTTTTAACTTTCCATGAGGGTATCTATTTTCACAAACACTCATAGCACTTAGAGACAAAAACATGAACTGAAACATCTGAACTTCAAGAACAACAACATTTTTTGCAATTCTGCAGATGCAGAATTCACACAAAGGCAAAAGATCCCTGCATTTTTTCATAATAGATTATTTATGTTTTGTTTTTTTTTGTTTTTTTGCAAAAGTACTGAATAACATTGGGCTTAAGTGATGGCTAACTCCTACCTACAGTTTGTGGAATTCATGCAAAATCAACAGATCCCTGCATTTTTTCATAATAGATTATTTATGTTTTTTTTTTGTTTTTTTTTAGCAAAAATAGTCAATAACATTGGGTTTAGTGACTGCTAAATCCCACCTGCAGGTGGCAGTATTTCTAACTTCTACAACACTACTGCCACAGTGTTGACTTTTCTTTTACAAGAAAGGTCAAGTTATAGTCTCTGGTTGATATGTGGCGTGACAAAAATTGAGCAATTTGAACTATTTAAGGAAAAAAGATGTTGAATCTTTTTCTCGTATTTTTTTCTTCTACCTGTAGATTTTGGAAGGTATTTAATGAAGAGAAAATATTGCAAAAATTAATTGCAAATGTTTCTAAAGTAGCCCCGCCAAATCAGTGATTTTTCTGTATAATCATTGTGTAACCATGATCTTAAAGGCTTGAGATCCAAAAGGCTTGAGAAAAAACACAAGTTAAATTTTAGAATAATGTCTGTTGTACAGAAGAGTGAGAAACTGAATTATCTGAACCCCAGAGATGTAAACCAAATACAACATTACAGGAAGAAGAATCTCAAAGTGGCGCGAACTTTCCACAAACTTGCGGCTGCTAGAAGCGCCTCGCTGAAAGTATTTTAAGAGAAGGTTAACTTTGGTCACTTGCTTACATTTCCATCAGATTATTTCCCAAAAATATCTAAAAGACAATTATACATTAATATATGATCATTTTTTAGGAGTGTATGCTTTATTTTCACATGGCTATTACTGTCAAACATCTCACATTCGTCCTCCTCTTTGCTTTCTTCTCTACTGCTGTTGTTGAACTTCAGCACCTCAGAAACTATAATCTACACCAGGTGTGATTAGAGTCCATCCAATTAGCCAATTATGTGATTAGCATGCAGAGTGAGAACCTTTGGGACTTGATATATAACAGCCTTTAAAATACTGCAGCCTTTTGTGATTTTCATATCGAACACAATGATGTTACAATTACGAGTGTGACTGTGCAGCTCAATTATGAAGGTTTAATTGTGAACAGGCAACTAAATAACAATTACCAGTCATTTTAATGAATACACTAGACAGTTAATACATAAAGTACATGTGCTCCAGTCCTCTGAGTTCATTCTTGTCCGTTTCTAAAAACAGTTTGTGGAAACCCCCACTAATTTTTAAAGTATCATGGTAGTTAAAGTGATGCAAGTTTTAACATGAACATCATATTAAGCACATTTCAGTAATGTTAACTAGAAAGAGGACAGATCTGACTCGGTCACTTCCTCTTTTTTTTTTTTTTTACTTATAATTTCTCACACTTTTCCAATGACATTTAACAACAAGTGACACAAGCCTTTCCTAATTCATACAAAGTCACACCTGATACGCAGAAGGCTCTTGGTCAATACTTCACGATACCAATCTGCAACCCAGTTCTGCACCTCCATGTTGCAGATTAGTGTTTTATTTCTTTCTTTCCATTATCTCAAAGAAATGCACTGGTCTAATATTTTTATGTTGATTACGATACCTGTTGGACTCAGTCAAACACTGATGTAGTTTTTTTAAGGATTTCCTAATTTTGACCTGGCAAAACATTCCATCTGATGGTGTAATTTAAGGTCTTTTTGCATTAGAAAGCATGGGTTTTCTCTGGGTACTCCGGTTTCCTCCCACAGTCCAAAAACATGACTGTTAGGTTAATTGGCCTCTCCAAATTGTCCCTAGGTGTGAGTGTGTGTGTGTGCATGGTTGTTTGTCCTGTGTGTCTCTGTGTTGCCCTGCGACAGACTGGTGACCTGTCCAGGGTGACCCCGCCTCTCGCCTGGAACGTTAGCTGGAGATAGGCACCAGCACCTCCTGACCCCACTAAGGGAAAAGGGTGTAAAGAAAATGGATGGGTAGATGAAGCATTTTAAGTGACGTATCCTAAAACTCAAAACTTTATCCAGCTCCTGGTGTGCCTGAGTGAAACAAAAACCTTTAGAGTGATCACTCAACTTCCACCCAGAGGACTGAAAACCAACACATCTCGCTAAACACAGGTAGCATCAACATGACCAACGCCATCTTCTTAATAAGATTAGTAAAATCACTTCGTTATCATAATTAGTACAAATTTACATAACTAAGCCATCAGCTTAAGAAAGTCCACTGCATTGTAACTGTAGATGTCGAGTCAGTCTGACTCAGCATATTTGTTTACTGGAAACGTCATCAGCAGCTGTCTGACAAGCCACACGTAAGCCTATGCAAATTTTACAAAAGGTAACACAATACTTTTATCCTCTTATGATGGCTAATTCTTCCAAAGCTCTTTCATTCATATGAAGAAATCACTAAAATGTTGAATTTCAGCAAAAAAAACCAAAAAAAACCCAAATTGAACATTTTTAGAAATGCTAACTCAAAATTCTTAAACTTTTCTAATGTTTCTCAATTTATTAACGCAACTTTCCAACTACTTTATTTTGATTGTGTGTGGATGATTCACCAACACGAAGCAATGCAGAGTTGTGAAATGATGCACAGTTTAAAATTATTTCTAAATGTTTTACAGAACAAACATTTCAAAAGCACAGTGAGAATTTATGTTTGACCCCTGTGAGTTAACCTTCTGCAACAACTACACATCTTATGGGTTATGCCTCTATCAGCATTTACGTCATTGTTTTTTGCGTAAAAGTAATAATCAGGGAGGAGATTGACCTTTTCACAGATTATCCACCTCATATTATACTGTCACAACATGGTGACAGTTTAAATAAATATGTAAAACTTTTTAAAAAAAATAAAAGTTACTGCATATTTAACTCTGCTCATTTTAACTCTGTGGTGAAGAAAGGCATCTCCACAGGATGCTGCTGCCTCCACCTTACCTTACTTCACCATGCCATGCAGAAAGTTGAACAAATGCCCAAGTCTTTAGTTTACATTATAAGATTTTTACCCTCACAACCCCCAAAAAGGAAAGAAAAAAAAAACTTGCTCTGCACGTTCCTGTTTAGTAAATGTACACAAAACAAAACAAGTGTTTGATTTACATTGGCTGGTTATTGGGAGTAAGTGATTTTATGATATCCTAAAAGTGGAATACTGTAGCTGTAAAAATGGATGAAGAGTTGCTTGAAGATGACTTTCAGTCTTGAGGTGCCAAGGTGACTGTGAAGGTCACAGTCACCTTGGCACTTTACAACTCGGAGTTGAAAGTCATTTGGGGCATTATGTTATACTCACTGTCTCTGGGTTCAGGGTCCACTCCTCGGAATCTTCCCGCGGATCTGGCATCGACCACCTGGAACTCTTTGGTGTCCAGGTTATTCAGCAGGTCGTCATAAGTTTTAATCCAGGAGCGCTTTATGGACGCCTTGAACTCGGTGGGAGAGGGTCTGACATATTTGTCGCTAACCGGTCGACCCTCCAGTTCCCAGTTCTTGAACCCCCCGTTCAGCAGAGACACCGCGTTATGCCCGAACACCCTGAACATCCACCAAACGCGGGGCGCCGAGAACGCACCGAAGTCGCTGCGGTCGTATATCACTACGTGCGTGTCGTTTTCTATTCCCAAATTCCCAACGTAATCTGCGAAAACTTTCTCCGACGGCAGCATGTGGTCCAGTGGGGAGGTTTTATCGCAGCACTGGTCTATGTCGAAGAACGCGGCGCCGGGGATGTGCCTCGCTTTGAACTCCCTTTTGGCGTTTCTCCCCATTTTGGGCAAATACCAGGAGCTGTCCAAGACGCGCATTTTCCCCCGAGTCGTTATTGCGTCCGCGAGCCATTTAGTGCTGACCAGAGCTCGAGCTTGAAGCGCCATGGTCGGTCCCGCAGAGGAAAGTGAGCCACTTGTGTCCGGTTGGGTATGGAGTCGGACCTCTGCCGTGGATTGAACACGGCAGTAGGTGTAAAGGTAAAAGCAGCGGAGAGAAGAGCGCGTGTCAGCCTTCTGTTCACTATCCAAAGTCTTTACCCTGAAGCAGTTTCTATCAAAACACATAAAACATTTATTTTTAGGAAAAGCTTATTAGCGAAATTTTACCTAAACAAATTTTTTAAAAGTTCGGAAATTATCTAACCACAATGCTTGCCCTGTTTGTATTTATTGTGTATTATTTATTATTATTGAATATTATTATTTAATAATAAATAGTACATTTTGACAAGACCAGCATAAAAGAGATAGTATATTATCAGTAGTAGTAGTAGTAATAGTAGTAGTAGTTGCAGTAGAAGTAGTAGTTTTACTTTATGCTAGCATGGTTGCGATTGTTATTGTTGGGTAGGAACTAATTGCTTATCAGCTGTTGTGCGGAGAGCTGCTTTCAGTGAGCACACACGAGGAAGCTGACGGACTCACATGTTTGTTTGGTAGTTCTAAAGTATGTTACTTTAGATGTAGTTTTAATACAGTGCAACAAATCAGACATTCTTAAGCGGAGATGTCAGCGTCATTGATCAGGAGAGGCCTGGAGCTGCTGAACGATGATATTAAAGGTCAGTTTAGCCTTTTAGCTTGTTACGATGCTAACATTAGCAGTGGAGCTAAATTAAGGCTAAGAGCTGATTTTTAATTTGCTCTAGGTGAAATTAAGTTTTAAATAATGTTTGAAAGTTTATTTGAATGTTTTTTTATGACAAACTAACTTAAACATTCAGTATTCAGTCAGTAATAAAAAAGTTTTGAAAGTGTATTTTAAACTGTTGGGCAGTCAGTGGAGTAGTTGACAAAAGCACAATGCTTTCAGAATAGTTTGTTGTGGCTGTCTTTAATAAATAAAACCAACAAACCAGAAACTAAATCATCTTAGCAACATTGAGGACATGTTCCATCCTAATCTGACATTTCTGTGGCTTCTTCCAGACAGCAGTCGAGTGAAGAAGAAGAAGCAGACCCCCAGTTCGGCCGCAGTGATGAATCTGGTCAGCACCAACCGGCAGGGGGTCACCAAACAGGTCAAGAGACTGCAGGGCCGCCTCGGGCCCGGGAAAAGCAAGGCCACGGTCAAAGACAAGCGGATCAGATCAGCAGTGGGTCAGAACCTACTTTCGTACTTAAGTTGATATTAACGATTTGTGTCCAGAATCAGGATTAGTTGTCGTAAGTTACACAGCTGGTCAGATGTGTCTCAAACACTGTGGAGAAAAGAATTGTCTTGGCTACTTATATTCTATATCCATTATATCTTTATGGCACTATGTAAAAAGAAGTGGTTTAAATTATTATCTTTTTATGTTGTATTCTTGCAGAGGATTTTAGGAAAAAACAACCAAAGAGCCAGCTGGATGCCAATCTGAAGTACTTTTTGGAATCAGCAGGCAAAGCAGAAGCCTTTGATACAAAGAAGGTAATGAGTTATTTCTCGCTTATCAATATGCTAGCTTTTAGTAATATTCACTAAAAAAATACACATAAACAAAAATTTACCAAATGATGCTGAAATATCAGATTCAATTATCAGAGGGTCATTCAGGTCCTGAATATCATGTTTATGGCCAAAATAAGTCAGACACTGATTCCTTTATTATTTCTTCAGCTTAGTTTATTTATTGAAAAATTGAAGACTAATGCCATTTTAAGGCACTTTGTAAGAAAATTGAAGACATGCACAATAAATCAAAGCCATACTGTTAGTGTTTTCAGTATTCTTTCACATAACTAAGGAATCCATGATATTTGATGACTGCGTACACGATTGATTCTTTTTTCCTTTTCTTGGTGTGACTCAGATTTTGAGGCACAGTAGAGGGAGGCAGTCAAGAAATCGCCCGGACAAACCTGTGAAAACGTCCAGGGAGGCTCAGTCGTTGTTCACGGAGGAGGAGTTCCAGCAGTTCCAGAGGGAATACTTTGGCAGGATTGTGGAGGAAAAGAAATGACACCAACTCTGAGGAGAAACATTAAAAAAAGGACCCAAACCATGGAGGAAGCAGCCAGACTGTGATGTGTGGATCAAAGTGGATTTTTCAGTGAGATTGTGCTAGAATTTAGTTCCACTGCACTCCACAGAAATACTTTACCGAAACAGGAAATACAAAGTATTTAGAAGTGGGGTTTACAGGTTTATCAGATCATATTTCAAAACTTACTGTAGTAAACAGTAATGGATGATTTGTGCATGCTATGTTTTTCTAATTAAAAAATGATGAAGAAAAGAAAACATGTTTGAGTTCAAATACTTGATTACAGTGAAGTATTGCACTACTTCTACTGTAACCCTCTTTGTGTTGTACTTTAACTTTCTGCCCAAAGATACAAATCCTGCTGCAATTGAGGTCATATTGGGATTTTAAAAAAGGTGGAATTTTTGTTCCTGTTTCCCTTTTGTTTTAGACCCGATTCTTGATGCATGTAAAAAAGCTTAATATATATTTTTGAGTGATAAAAACTGAGTCATTGCTGTCATGTCTAGGGTCTATCAGCATATTTTACTGGACATCAAATTATCCCCAAGATTATTGTGCTAAATTATAATAAGCCATATTTATACATTTGTATTGCGCATCTGATTAAAGTTGCAGACTCAAAGCAACAATAAAACTGAACATATGAACTGTTTAAGCAAACCAGTTTTATAAACAGTACAACTCACTACATACCAGAATAATTACCACTTTTGTATTGGGAGATGCTGATGTAATTAATCCTGCTATAGCATCATAAGGAATATAAGACGGAGAGTCACCCAAACAGATACAGACTCAGATTAGCCAAATGTTTGATGAGACACAAAGAAACATTAATAACTACTTTAAAAAGTTTTTATTTGTTTGCCCTGGAGAAATCCTGGAGAAAATGTTTTTCAGACTCCATACACTTGATTCTGGCTCACTAGAAGCTTAGCTGTTACATTTCTAACATTCCAGAAAACTTGAATCTGTGAATGCTGTAAAGAAATGCATTTTGTTATGCTACCTTTCTAAAATAGAATCTGTAAAACAACTCAGAGATGTAAAAAAATATGAAATGGATCTTCATACAGGTCCTTTCCAGTTCCACAGATTCTCCGCTTGTGGTTCAGTTCACCACAGGATTATATGAGACCGTGCCGATACGTTCATTCACTCAGAGCCAAGAAAGGCGTTTTGTTTCTTTGGTCACGCCCACTTCACGCTTGAATAAGTTTTGTGAAAGGCTTTGGATTTGTTTTTAACTCCGTAATCTACTCACAAAAATGTGCAAAGCAAGTTGAGAAACCGCTTTTCCAGCACTTATGTAACTGCATTTGATTACATGAACTGAATAAATAAGTTGGCCTTTGCAAATACATAATTTATTTGTAAAACTTGGAACTTTGTGAAAGTCAAAAGTCATGGGTTACACACAAGACAATGAGATGCTCCAATTAACGCTGCATTCTTCTGCGGCAAATTCCATGGATTCCTAATCTAGTCAGCTTTTTGACCACAGCACAACTCTAAGAGTAAAAAATTAACACAAACATAAACATTCTGTTTTGTCATAAAGACTTCATATCTTCACTCGATCATAACATTATGACTCAACAGGTGGAAAACCTGGAAGAATTGCCTTGTCTTGTTTTAAACTGGTTTAGATCTAAATTTGAATGAACAAAGACAGCGTGGGGTTCCTCAGGGATCCATTATTGGGACACATTTGTTTAGGGTCTGATTCCCCCACATCAGAATATATTATGGCATTTCCTACCTGTGATGGTCACACACAGCGATGCGTTTGTTTGTCACTACATGACCGCAGTTAATTACTCTCCCTAAGTCTTAGTGAATGAGTCAGAATTTCCTGACACCTGAGGCAGAAAATACAGAAGTCACCTATAGACTAAATGCCCTGAACGTGAGATGTGCAGACACTTAGGGCTCGTTTAAATCATGATTTTTGTTTATTGTAGCTTACCTTCCATGCCTTACCATTTGCAGCCTCCCGTTCCTCTCCCAAGGAAGATACACCTTCACACACGATCTGTTGATGAGGACTGGCTGAGATGTGAACCCGCTCCTCCTCAGTCTCAGGTTTGAGAGAGAAGAAATCTTTAAATTCATACCCCTATGCAGCAGTGTGGTCATTACCATGAATGTTGACGATTGATACATTGTTAAAAGTCTTTAAACCACAAGGTGACGTTTGTTTTTGTGTGTCATCGACTCAGAACGGTTCGGGGGACTCCACTCCTCCACCGGTGCCCTTGCGCATGAATATTAGAAGACAATACTCTGAACAATATGAAGTCATCAGAGAGCAAGTCCAGGTATACAGGGTGTTTTCTTTTTTGGCTAAATATTTATATTATTTGAGTAGTGTGGAGAATACCTGTTTTTTCTTCACAGGTGGATAAGGAGCTCTTTAAGCCCCGACCTCCTCCGCTGCCGGCCAGGCCGCCACTAAAACAGCTTTCACAGGAACCTGTTTACCTGGAAATTATGCAGGTAATTACAAAAAACTCTTATAGTATATTCATACTGGATGCAACTGAAAACTTCGAGTGATGGTATAAGGTAATTTTTGTTTCCTACAAGGATGAAACGTCCCCTGATGAGAAGATGAAACGTGAGTAGGAAGCCTCAGTTATTTCTGCTGTTGAAAAAAGACTCTTAGTCGCTAAACATCTTGTTGACTGCAGCATGGAAAGAAATGCTTGAAGATCTCCAACGTAGAGGATTCTCAGAGATAAGGCAAGTACATTATACTAGTTTTAAATGGACACAATTATGCTAAAGCTGGTGATGTGAGAAGTCTTGGTGCATTGTGGGATTTTTGGAAGTGAATCTGTGGAGTTTTAAATTACCAAGAGTAGTGGCTGACCCAAAGCCACGAAAAGGTGATAAAGTCTTGTTCCCTCAAATTAACTATACAACCCCTGAAAAAAAAAAAAAAAAAGATTTAATAGGGGTGTATTTTTTCCCTTTCTTCTTTTTTTTTTGGGCTCTAATGGCCTTTATTTGAAGGTTTACGGGCAGGAAAGTAACACTAACAGTAAAGTGCTATGCCAAGATGATATTTAGTGGAAGCTAATGCTAACACGCTAAATTCAACCACATTAATACCCACTAGATGTCTGTGAAGCAGCATGTGCTACAACGTAGCATCTCACCTTCATTTGGGTCAAATTTGTTGTTACACTGGAAAATGCATAATATCCCTCATCCCCAACGATAGCCAAAACCTTAACATGGAGGTAAAACCTTATTGAGCAGAAAATTTACAAAACAGCCAAGTAAATCTGTACTTTCGATTTTATTTTGAAAAATTAATTTAGTGGAAGCTAAGTGCGCTAATTGCTTTCAAAGTGCTAAATAACAAATTAGCTGCGCCATTAGTGTAGTAGCCAATTAGCATAAGTGTGCTCACCACACACTTCAACCACCACACAAGGTCAAAATTAACCTTGAAATATTTGAAAAAGTAAAAGTGACGATTCATGGAGATAAATGATTATCTCTGACAAATAATTTCTTTTAAAATCTTAGGATCATCAATGCTAAAGCTGAAAAGCTGTATAAGGCCATTCAGACGTATATCCAGCTGATTTCTAAACATGGCGTCGATCTTAAGTCACACATCGAAGAGCTGAACAACATTTCTGACAACTTGAACAAGGTGAGGGAATCTTTCTGGTGACAGAGAAGTTTGAAAATCCAAATGTGCATGTATATTTTTTTTCTTTTAAGAATCATTAGAATTTGATTGAGCTGCCTAAAAGTTTAAAACTTGATCTGGATTCCTTTAAGTTTGCAAAAACCACAAAGATCGCTGGCATCACCGGAGGAGCATCAACAGCAGCAGGAGGAGTGGCAGCTGCTGCCGGGGTGATCCTGGCCCCTTTCACAGCTGGAGCCTCACTGGCCCTGACCGTTGTTGGGGCCGGAGTGGCTGCAGC